GTGTTTGGTTTGGTAAACGTGCAGAGGCTGGTAAATATCACTGCAAAACCACAAAAGAATGAAACTCCAGTTTGGAACTTTAAAAAACAGGTTTAAAAATCTTCCTTCACTTTTTTCACAGTTTTGTGTAAAGTGCCAGAGGAAGTTCTCTTAAAGAAGAGGTTCTCAAACTGTGGGGGAGGGTCCAAAAAAGGGGCACAGAGTGTTTCAGTGCAGTTTGTTTGGTTTTGTATTAGGTAGATCATTTTGACTTGGTCATTTTGTAAGTAGATCACATGATGAAAAAGTGTGAACACCTCTGCTTTAAAAGAATTAGTAACACGTGTGTGTGGTGTCAGTCATGGAGAAGTTTTTAAAACGGACGAATGCAAACTCCGAACTGGGCCCTGGACAAGATTCTGACCCAGAAGAAGAGCTTTTCAAGCTTAACTGCTATAAAAACTAAAAACAGAAGAGACTGAGAGCTGTTGATGAAGAGTGTGTGTGTGTCTTTCTTTTATTCCTGTCAGGATATGAGCTTTGTGTTCATCTAAACAGGTGCAAGTCTCACACTGACGAAGTAGAAATTAATGTAGAAATTATATTGTAATTAAATATACTGTATAGTGTCATTTTGTAACATTTTGGTTAGTTTTGTGCCGCAAGATTTTTCCAATGTAAAAAACATGCTGTGGCTCAAAAAAGGTTGAAAAACACTGCGATAGTCGTCCTCCATGTCCTCCCCAAACTCCTCCCAGCTCCGAGTTTTTGCCTCTGTGACCGCACAAGCTGCAGCACGCTTGGCCCGCCGGTACCATCAGCTGCCATCAGGAGTCCCCCGAGCCAACAAGACCTGATAGGACTCCTTCTTCAGCCTGACGGCATCTCTACAGACCTTACACCCACAGCTACGAGCAGCCACATTGACAATAGAGTCCGAGAACAAAACAAAGACACTCCATGTCCCCAGACTCCCCCAGAATCTGTGAGAAGTCCTCCCGGAGGTGCGACTTGAAAATCCCTCTGCCAGATGTTCCCAACAGACCCTCACTACACACTTGGACCTGCCAGGACTTTCCAGCTTCCTCCTTGGACCCAACTCACCACCAGGTGGAGCTCTACAGCTCTGTCCCTCTCTTTACCCGAGTGTCCAAGACACGTGGCTGGAGGTCACATGACACGACCACAAAGTGGATCATGAACCTCCGGTGGAGATCGTCCTGGTGCCACGTGCTCTGATGGACCTTGTGCTGAACATGATGTTGGTTCTGGACAAACTGTGACTCACACAGAAGTTCAATAACAGAACATGACTGAGGTTCAGATCAGGAGGACGTTCCTCTCCAAGTGTCACTGTCTCCAGGACTTGTTCATAGGACTTCAGTGTCTCTGTGTCTTTATGTCTCTGTGTTTCCTGTGGCGCCCCCTTCAGGTCCCGTGTCGTTCCTGCACTTGGAGCTTAAAGGAGACGTTCTGGTCTGCAGCTCTGAGGGCATCTACCCTCAGCCCGCCGTGACCTGGACCCCTGACTCCGCCCACCAAACCCAGACGCGGCCAATGGGGGATCAGCTCTACTCCGTCAGCAGCTCGCTCGCCCTGGAGCTCCGCCCCCCTCAGAGGTTCACCTGTAACATCAGCACGACCCACAGCTGGAAGAGCGCCACCTACAGCCTGAACCGTGAGTCTGCTCCTGTCTGCTCCTGTCTGCTCCTGTCTGCTCCTGTCTGCTCCTGTCTGCTCCTGTCCTCACTTGTGTGTCTGCTCCTGTCTGCTCCTGTCTGCTCCTGTCCTCACTTGTGTGTGTTCTTCCTCAGCTCCAGTGGAGATGTCCTCAGACGTGACTCTGCCCTGCTCCTCCTCTTCTGCTCCGTCTGCTCCAGTCAAGAGCCTGAGTTGGACCTTCAACCGCGTCCAGAGCGTCCTGAGCCGGAGCGGAGCGGACGTGACCTACGGCGCCCCCTGGAGGCCGTTTGTGGAGCGCCTGTCAGAGTCAGGCGCTCTGAGTCTGAAGGAGCTGAGCCCAGAGCAGGAGGGCGAGTACCTGTGTGAAGTCCACACGCAGCAACAAAACTACATCTGACGAGACGAGACGACACAGACTGAGACTGACAGGTGAGCACAAAGGTGAGTGACAGGTGAGTGACAGGTGCAGTGACAGGTGCAGTGAGCAGTGACAGTGACAGTGACAGGTGCAGTGACAGGTGCAGTAGACCCTGTCTGATCTCCACATGTGTTGGTGTCCCACAGCAGAGGGCCCTGGGGCCCCTGCAGCTGTGATCGGAGTCTCAGTGTGTGTGGTCCTCGTCCTGGCTGGAGTCGTGGTTTTCTTCCTGTGGAAACGTCGACAGAACAAAAAGGTGAAACCAGTTTGTAACAATTCACCTCGACAAGAGAAAAGCTACAACGCAAATTTTAGGACGTGGGAGGATCCATTCATGTCAGTGGGGTGAAATAAAGACATGCAAAAAAATCAGTGCTTTTGGCCTATCTGACTTTTATTGGTATTGCCAGGTACAAATACCCTTAACCACACCGCGCTTGAGCGTAACCAATCCCCAAAACCCAAACACAAAACCCAAACACAAAACCCAAACACAAAACCCAAACACAAAACCCAAACACAAAACCCAAACCCCAGTGCAACAAAACAATAACGAACAGTTCGATATTAATCCACCACCCTTCACCATAACAGTCCCGAACAACTTCCCCCCTCAAAGTTCCCAAAAAAGTCTTTTACTCACGCCACCTGCGCTCGCTGCAGCAGTGAGCAGTGTGACGAGTTCCTGACAGTCCAAAAACTGTCATGTGACGTCACACATGTGTGTGTGTCCCTCTCCCCTTAAATCCCTGTGTGTCCGGGGAGGGCGCAACAAACAGTCTGTTATGGCCTAAAATAATAGTGACACCTAAATATAAAAGACCATACACCATAGATATTGTTAACAATAAGAATTTCACCCAACTGAATGAATCAAAATAGGTGAGGACCCAAGTGGTCTTTACAAGTTTAACATAGAATTTACATCAGAACATCGTCAGAACTACATACACATGTACTTTTAAAAACTTCAATTTACACCAGAAGCAACAGAGACACCAGCCTCTGTGTGTTCTCACCTTTAAACTCTAAACTCTATCATAGTTCTTATTTAATGAGCCTTGGGCCAATCAGGCCTCATTGTCAAAAAGAATAAAAACTCTGGTTTCGGGGAGAGTTTGACTCAGATTTTTCCTGCAGCTTTGAGCCTCTGAACCTTTGGGGAGTTTCATTTTGCTCCTTTGGTCGTTTCAAATGTTGTGGGGATCAGACTGGAGAAAATTCATTTCTAGAATCACAACAGAAACATTAGAGAAAGAAACAAGTTCAAACCAACTTTGATTTTATTTTTCAGGCCCAAAATGGAGCTGCAGAAGAACAACAAACGTAAGTGTGAAACATTTGAGCTGAATCTACAAAATAATGGTCCAATCTCCATGGAGCACGACTGGACACATGAGGGACCACAGTGTCTTGTTCTGTTCTCACTTTAAAATCACAATCAAACTATTGAGCAAAACCTTTTCTTCTTCATTTCCAGTTCCCTTGAGGAAAGAGGAGACCCTGCTGTTCTGGAGAACCTGCTGCAGGACAATGTTGGAGCTCCTGAAGGTAAACTCCAGGACTGTAGGGGCGTCTTTAGAGAGTGCTCCAGTCAGGTCCTCCCACAGTCCTGTCAGCTTTGTTAGTCCCAATAAAAACTCCAGGTTAAGTTCAGGCAGATTTATTCAGTAACAACATGTTCACGTGCTCATCCAACAACGACCTGTCTCCTTCCCCACAAACCTGCAAGTAACAAGTTCAACCTCTTCCAGGTGTAACGGCCCTGGCTGAGCGCTGTTGGGCAGGAGCTGATGATGATGGTCGTCATAACCACATCTCCTTTGGATGTTCTTTGAAGCATCTTATCGACAGCCTCATCAATCTGCTTCCAGACTGTTGTACCACAGGCCTGAGCTTAGGTTTGGGGAACAGCAGATGTCCCATGGAGGTTCTGGGCTCTGTGGGGTGGATCGTGGCTCAGTTCCTCCTATGTCCCATCAAATGCTTCATCTGTGGCACATCCTTGTTCTCCAAACACTTCATCCTGGTTTGGTCGACGCACTCGACGGTGAGGCACTCTGCTGCCGTCTCATTGTTGCCGTTTTGATTTATGGATCTGTGTCGAGGTTTATGTGCTGCAAAGTAATTCACTGCCACAACAGTAGGAGGCGATGACTGTGTTTGTGTTTACAAAATTAAGCTGGAAAGTGGAGGACCAGAAATGTGTGTAGAGCAGATGTAGAGACGACCAATCACAGCAGCCCTTATTGTCTACATCAGTTCGATGTGTAGTTAGTAGTTCTGGAGGTGCATGTGGGTTGGTGCAGACGCTCTGTTCACGATGACGCAGACTCTGTATCGTGATGCAGACGATTTGACGCATGACCATAAATTGGGCTTTAAGCAGTGGTTGTTTTAGCAGGTTTTTCTGTACCTGCATACTGCGGTCGTGGTCATTACTCCAATGCCAATAGTCGTAACCTTGAGTCAGTCAGATTGGAGATCTTCTGCCCCTCTCGAGCTCCTCTGGGGGTGTCCCCCCATGAGTCGATCTGTAGCTCTGTGAGGCTTCTCCTCATGGAGGAAGTGGTTCAGGCTGCGACCCTCCCTGCCTCAAGTTCTGTCTTTCCAAGTTGTCAACTGCCTCTCCAGTCGTCACCAGTCTATTCCTGATTGTCATCCAGACTATTCCTGGGAGTCACGGGTTTTGCCAGAGTAGATAGTTCTTAAATCCGTCTTGTAGAGGAGCTCCTGAACACATCATCATGTGACCTGAGGTTTTTTGGTGTTTCGGGTCTTTCAACATCAGACTCCCTTTGTCCAGGTGACCCAGCCACGACTGATCAGGACTGTGTCTTGTGTTCTGTAGCACTCACTTCCCCCATGGTTTCCTCTCTGGATCATCTTGATGATTTCTCAGCTGCTTCTGTGGTATTTTTGATGTTCTTCTGCTCCTTGCTGTTCCTGCTCTGTCCAGTGCTCTGAGGACTCTGTGAAGTGGCCCATGAATCCTCTGCAGCCAACCTCGATGGGCATTTTACCTTCCAGCCCTGAGCTCGACAGTCGATGGTCAGATGTTCATACTTGGACCTCTTTGTTTCATGAGCCTCTTCTACGTGGTCCTCCCATGACCCTGTCAGCTCCAGGATTATGATGTTCTTCTTCTCTCTGAGACACCAGGATGTCTGGCCTCAGGGTGGAGCTGATGATGTTCTGAGGGAATCTCAGTTGCTTCTTAAGGTCTACAGAGAACTTCCTACAGAGAACTTGTCGTCTTCTTCTCTGTTTTTGGCTGCTCTTCTTTCTTGATAAATGTGATGTGCAGGTGGATTAGTGCTGTTACTTTGCTGCACCTGCTGATCTCTCTGTTGGTGGAATCTGCTGTTGGTTTCAGAACCTGGTTGTGGCGACAGGTGTAATGACCCTGGCTGAGGACTGTTGGGCAGGAGATCAGGAAGTGCTCCAGGGTTCCTCTTGAAGGACACAGTTGGCAGGTTGGGGCGTCCACCTTTTCCCAGGTCATTATGTGACTTTTCAGAACTTTTTACTTAACATCATGTTCTAAACCAAACTGGGAGCAGATCAGAAGCTGCTGTAGACCTGCACTGTGAGGACACAGGACCAGATCATCTGCAAACATCAGATGGTCACACAGAGAATCTCCAACAAAACATCCAGGTTTAACTTCATGAAGCTGCAGACAGAGGAGTTCTATTTCTCCAAGATCTGGTTCAGCGCACAGATCCACGTGTCAGTGCCATGTCCACGCTTAAAGACAAACTGATGAGTCTCATGTTCTGTTTGTGTCCTCACAGAGATCATCAGGAGGAGCTCGGAGAACATCAGAGGAACCACAGAGAAGATGGAGTTTGATGAAGACTTCAGAGAACATAGAGAGACAGGGGATGATGTGAGAGAGGAGAGTCATGAGTCACAGGTGAGTCTCCAACACACCAGGTCCAGAGTCATTTGGTTTGTGTCAAACTCACACGTTTGTTCACTGCTGAGTTGAATCAAATCAAACTTTATTTATAAAACACTTTTCATACAAAAATGCAACACAAAACGCTTTACAATGATTAAAAACAATTCCACATTTCCTTCCTTCTACACACCAGCCTTTGTAAAGCTTCAAGTCTCAGAGATGTTCTCCACACTGTACTGGTGTTGTAACTATGAGGACCTCTCGAAAACGAGACGGTGAGACATTTCAAGGGACTCATCCTCCAAACAAATACATACAAACACTGTGCTCCAAGACCAAAGTCCTGTCCAGTCTGTGATCAGTCACCGTGAACTGTTCCATGATGTTTTCCAACATGTGGTGCGAGGCTCATAGTCACAGTTCATGAGTTCATAGTTTTACTTTCACTTTCAGTTAGACTTTCAGCCAAGTGGAGCATTGAACAGTCACCGCCACAGTGATCCCAACTTTTAGAAAAATCAGGACCTGAGCCAATCAGCAAAAGATCATGTTTGTGAACAGGCAGATGTTTCTATGTCTCCACAGAGACGCCAGACACACGACTCACCAGTTCTGCAGGCGTCCGAGTGTCCTGCAGGGAAAGTTCTGTGGAGACACACAGGTTCACCCGACCATGAGCTTCTCATAGAAAAATCATGTCTGAGTATCAAATCCAGAGTTAATTTGTGTTGTTGGAGAGCAGAGCAGAGAGAATCTCTCCAAGTATAAAAACACGAGACAGAGACACCGAGACAAAGCAGGAGAGAAACACGTCCACCCAGAGAGAAAGAACAATGAACTCTGGCTCTGCTCACAGTTTACACAGTGTTTCTGTCACCGAGAAAATTCATTTCTAGAATCACAACAGAAACATTAGAGAAAGAAACAAGTTCAAACCAACTTTGATTTTATTTTTCAGGCCCAAAATGGAGCTGCAGAAGAACAACAAACGTAAGTGTGAAACATTTGAGCTGAATCTACAAAATAATGGTCCAATCTCCATGGAGCACGACTGGACACATGAGGGACCACAGTGTCTTGTTCTGTTCTCACTTTAAAATCACAATCAAACAAACCTTTTCTGGACCAGGACACTCAGGTGAGACTGGTCTGGTCTGGTCTGGTCTGGTCTGGTCTGGTCTGGTCTGGTCTGGTCTGGTCTGGTCTGGTCTGGTCTGGTCTGGTCTGGTCTGGTCTGGTCTGGTCTGGTCTGGTCTGGTCTGGTCTGGTCTGGTCTGGTCTGGTCTGGTCTGGTCTGGTCTGGTCTGGTCCTGGTCTGGTCTGGTCTGGTCTGGTCTGGTCTGGTCTGGTCTGGTCTGGTCTGGTCTGGTCTGGTCCTGGTCTGGTCCTGGTCTGGTCTGGTCTGGTCTGGTCTGGTCTGGTCTGGTCTGGTCTGGTCTGGTCTGGTCTGGTCTGGTCTGGTCTGGTCTGGTCTGGTCTGGTCTGGTCTGGTCTGGTCTGGTCTGGTCTGGTCCTGGTCTGGTCTAAACTGGACTTGTGTGTTTCAGGTTGGATGGGGCAGAGCTGCGTAAACTCTCAGATCTGAGGAAGTGTGAGTCTTGTTTTGTGTCTTAATAAGAGAATCACAATGACAGAAACATGAAATAAACATGTTGTGACTTTAACGTGGGACTGGACTCACCTTTCACACTGACACGACTCCAGGTCTGTGGAGAACGTTCACGCTGACACGACTCCAGGTCTGTGGAGAACGTTCACGCTGACACGACTCCAGGTCTGTGGAGAACGTTCACGCTGACACGACTCCAGGTCTGTGGAGAACGTTCACGCTGACACGACTCCAGGTCCGTGGAGAACGTTCACGCTGACACGACTCCAGGTCTGTGGAGAACGTTCACGCTGACACGACTCCAGGTCCGTGGAGAACGTTCACGCTGACACGACTCCAGGTCTGTGGAGAACGTTCACGCTGACACGACTCCAGGTCTGTGGAGAACGTTCACGCTGACACGACTCCAGGTCTGTGGAGAACCTACAGACACAGAGAGAACATCTGTAGAAGCATCAGCTCAGTTGAACAAACTCTTGAACCCTGAGTGGTTTATCTGAGTCAGCAGATCCACGTGGTGTCCAATAAAGCCCATGACACTAAAGACTAAACTCTTTGTGGCTCCTGTAAACGCCTCCAGCTCTACGTCCACTGATGCTTTCACACATGAACATTCTCCTCACATTCACATGTTTGTGTTTCAGACTCCTGTGACGTCTCTCTGGACCCAAACTCAGCTCACAGACGCCTGAGGATGTCTGACCACCATCGAACTGTGACACTTGTGAAGATGAAGGAGGAGCAGAAGTATCCAGATCATGAGGACAGGTTCACAGGCTCGTACTATCAGGTCCTGAGCTGCACTGGCCTGAGGGGGCGCTGTTACTGGGAGGTGAACTGGAGCGGGTGGGTTTGTATAGCAGCGAGTTACAGAAAGATCAGACGGAGAGGAAACAGAGAGTGGGTTTGGAAACAATGATCACTCCTGGAGTCTGGAGATCAACAAAGGAAAGTGCTTTGCCCACCACAACAAAGACAAACACTCAGTCTGTGATTGGCTGAGCTCCTCAGGGGGCGTGTCCTCTGGTGAAGGGGGGCGTGTCCTCGGGCAGAGTGGGCGTGTTCCTGGACTCTGAGGCTGGAGCTCTGTCCTTCTATCAGATCTCCTCTGATGAAGAACTGTTCCACATCCACACCTTCTCCTCGTTCTTCTCTGAGCCTCTGTTTCCAGGGTTTAGACTGTGGACTGAAGGTTCCTCTGTGACTCTGGTCGACCTGAGCTCCTCCTGATGTTGTGTCCACAGAGTCTCCTTCAGACAGAGTCACTGATGATCTCTGACAAACTGGGACTTTACCTGGACTTGACTTTGGTCAGTGTCAGAGTTTTTAAACAGTTTTAGCAAATTGTACAAAACTCTGACATTTTTAACATATTTTAAAATAATCTTTAAACATTTTTAAACCAATGAAGAAAATGTTCCAAGAGTGAAACAGGGAGAGAAGATGTGGGACTCTACACCCACTAAACCATTCTTGGATTCAGAAACACTTTTTCTTTTTCCCTGAAATGTTCTTTAGTGTTTTATTGACAGAAACTGTCCCAGTTCTATTGTGGACATATGTGGACAATAATCTGCCTTGTTCTACATCTGTTGTTCCATTTTCCAGAGCTGCCTGGATTATAAAGCTTTCAGATTCTGTTGAAGTTTATTCAACTCCTGAGTCGACTCCGGTGGTTTTTGTGTCTTGTTTGTGTGAGTTTGTCTACAGCTGTGACACTTTCAGTCAAATCAAACATTCTGGGAACAAGTTTGTCTCCAAAGCCACAAATCAAAAAGAAGCCTAAACTTCACAAAGAAGTCGTGGCCTTTTATATGAATTGTTCCTGGACTGAAGACATTTAGTGTAAAAAAGAGTGTGTGGCGTCTCTTCACTTGAGTGAAGCGGAGACACTGATGTGATCAGACACATCGTCTTTACAAACAAGTGAAGGTCCTCAGGAGGCCCATCATCAACTTCCACTGACACACAAACAAACGGCTCATTTTGGCTGCGTGTGAGGAAACACTTGATTTGATTTGACCTTTATTGAACCAGGACGTCCCACTGAGATTCAGAAGCTCTTTTTCAAGAGACACGTGTCCAAGGAGCAGCAACACAACAACACAAAACACACAAATCACAAAGAGTCACATTAGAAAACCATCTGCATCTGTCAAGAAAAACACACTTTTACAATCTTTACAAAGGGAACCCAGAAGGTTCCTCAGTGTGGCTTTGTAAATGAAGAGTCACTCGGGTCTCGTCAGGACAAACATCAGACTTGGGCTGTGTTCAGTTCCTCCAACAGCCTCAGTTTGGACTGGACACTGAAGTTCTGCTTCAAGAAAAACAAGTGTCACTGTGTCCTGTTCTCATCTGTTGCACATCAGTCCCATCAGTTGGAGATGTTCCATCTTAAAGCAGAAGTGGGTGAATGTGCACGGGGAGGTCAACACAGAGAGCAAAAGTCTGAACATGGACTCAGTGGAATGTTCCACAGTGACACTTTAGCAGAACAAAGACAGAGTGTTGGATGGTTTGATGGGGAGGGGCCCTGCAGAGTCTCGGTGCAGCAGCAGCTCTGGGGACGCCTCTTTCCTCATGTGTCCATGTTGTTCTGGACGAGTCGCCCCAACAAACTGAGGCCAAAGGTCAAAGGTCACAACATTTCATCTGTTTGTTTTACTGGAAGAAAACTGGAGATGAGCAGCTGGAGGTGGAACCAACCAAATATTAGATCAAACTTTCAATTTTAACTCCTTAAATTATAGTTTTGACACCAAAAGCCTCAAATGATGCATGAAAAAAATGAAACCAAGAGTTTTTTCTTGATCTTTCAAGTCATTTGACTTTGTTTGTGTTTGGATTCTCAGAGTCTGTGGCTCCTGGAGAAAACACCCAGATCATTTGAACCTCAAATCTGTGTCTCTGTCCTTCAGTCTGGACTCATGTGGACAAATGTGTTTTTATTCAGAGACCTTGGCACTCCCAGGACATCAAAGATAAACACAGGGATAAACAACAAAATTCAACAAAATAATCAAAAACAATCACATGGTTTATGTAAATGTTGAACCAGAGCATTTTTAAATAAAGGGACAGAAGTTAAAGCTCGAATTGATGAGGGAAGATTGTTCCAATCAGAAGGAGCTTTATATTTAAATGAATATTTTCCTATTTGTTTTTTGACTCTTGGGACAACAAAAAATATCTGATCTGCAAGACGTAAACTATAAGAGGATCTGAATGGAATTAAATACTGTTTAAGATCTTCAGGATGAGTGAGATGAATACATTTAAAAATAAAGAATAAGCAGTGAAGTTGACGTGGGGAGGACAGAGTGAGGAGGACAGTTGGTGGAACATTGTACAGTGGTGAGTTCTGAAGGGACAGCGGAGAATGAATCTGCACAGACTGTTCTAGAAAACGCTGAGTGGTTGGAGAATAGAAGTTGTAGTATTTTGATAAATGATATCGCAGTCATCTAAAATGGGAAGAATTAGTTGTGAAATAATCTTTTTCCTAACAGAAAAACTAAAACAACTGATGGACTGATAAAGTAATTTGAAGTGAAATGGAGTTTTGTTTGTAATAGTTTGTATGTGGGCGCTGAATGAGAGCGACGGGTCGAGCCATAAACCAAGATATTTAAATTGATCAACTGCTATAATTGGTGATGAATCGGTAAATGTCAAAATTTATATCAATTGAACAGAAAAAGGAGATTCGTTTCTGGAACAACATTTAGATTTATTAAGCAGAAGTTTGTTTTACTGTAGCCATAATTGAACAGTATTAAAATCATGTTGATTGAGGACTGAATATCAGTAATATTAGATTTAGATGAATAAATAACTGTATCATCAGCGTAGAGTTGAATATCACAGGCTGTGCACACAAGGGGAAGGTCGTTCATAAAAATAGAAAATAAAAGGGGACCCAGTGAGGAACCTTGAGGGACGCCTCTCTCTATTATGGAGACATTTGAAAAGCCTTTAAAGAAAACACATTGTTGGCGGTGATGAAGATATGAATTGAACCAAAGGAGAGTGGACCTGTCAAGGCCTGTAGAATGAAGCTTGTCCAGTAAAAGATAATGGTCGACCATATCAAAAGCTTTCGTGAGGTCAATAAATAAGGCACCAGTGAGCATATTATTGTCAAAACCCCCAAAAATATCATTGGTACATTTTAGTAAAGCAGAAGTTGTTGAAAAATACTTTCTAAAACCAGACTGAAATGGAGATAGAAGATTATTTTTGGATAAATATTCAGACAGTTGATTAAAAATGAATTTCTCATAGACTTTAACAATGCTATTGATCATTGAGATTGGTCTATAATTATGAAGTTTTGCTGGGGTCACTCCCTTTAATGGAGACGTATAACCTTTACACATTTCCACGCAGATGGAACCTGTGGGAAATTATGTGTTGTTCATGCTAAATTCATCTAATATTATGGACTTTGGAATAACAACAGGGTGGAAAACACGTATGATTATCTGTAGGTCTATAGAACATGTTTTTCTGGACTTTGAGATGCCACGAAGCAGAAAAACTGACATATGTGGTCCCCGTGGCATGTTTCCACCCATGATAAGCTGCACTGGGTCAGCAGTATTGTTCATTTTCTTGCTAAATCAACAAGTTAATGTTTTGTCAAGATGTAGTATAAAGTTGCCCCTGAGTTTGAGTTGGTCAGAGGCGTCGTCCGGGGTGACAGTTGTACTTGGTAATCAACTTGAATCTCTCAATGGAAATGTTGAAATAAAGTGGCCTGTTCTCTCGGATTCTCCATCTCCTGTGCTTCTTTTTAGGACACGCATGGAACCTTCACGACACACACACACATACACACACACACACACACACACACACATACACACACACACATACACACACACACACACACACACATA